TGTAAAACCAAAGGAGGGTTAATTCAAGAATGTTATCATTCATGTTTCCAGTATTTAGTCAAAGACCAAAGCTTTCAATGAGTCCATGGACTGAGTCAAGAATAGTTATACTCAGAGCTCAGTGCTGGACATTGTAAAAACATGTTAGACAGCCATTTCAAGATATACATATGGGCTTTCAAACCCTGAACTTGGCTAGGTCAAGCAAATGGCCTAAGCTACACCAAATTCAGATTCATTTGGGGTACGACATCAAACAGGTTTGCAAATCTGAGATGGCTGTGGTGCGTCTAAAAATCTGTCAAATTTTACGGGGGGTAACCAAAATGTATGACAAGTGTTAACGTATCTTTCCTCAAATAACCTGCAGAGTGAAATGATTTTGCAGTCTGTGCTTTAAGTCTGGCTACTGTGTAATGTTTCTCTGCATACCTTGCCGGGTGAATATATGGAACTAAAAGTGATTCTGTGGGTATTTGCATTTTTACATTGATACAAGAAAATATGTTCATGTAATTTAATATGTACATGACACAAAACCCAGTCACGATAGCAGTGTTTTCCCTGTGGTCATATCTGCTAGTATCTCTATGCTTCCAAACATTTATAAGACTTGTGGAAAGTCATGTGTGGTGTACATTTACTTGTTGTTTGAATGAAACAGTAGAGGCTAGAGTGGTTTATGTTTGCTCAAGTTATATGTCATATTCCTTCATCCGGTCAAAAAATAGATGGTACAAAGTTACACCTTTCCGTTTTGACATTGGGCGTTGATTTTCATTTCAAAGCAGCAATTGCTTTCAGGTTTCAATCGAGTTAAAGTCTCCACACTGATTGGTACACAGGTCGTGGAGTGCTCAAGACATGCCAAGAATATAGAACCATCATGGGAAACACTGCTAAAGTGACGGTATTCTGGCCCCCTTTACTGGCCCTCTTGTGTAGATCTCATTCCTTTGTTCACTTTTGTTGGTGGCATCGCAGAGGACACACTCCAAGGAGGCTATCTATCAGCTGAACGAGGAGGAAGAGCTGACTCATTATGGCCAGTCACTGGCGGATGTGGAGAAGTTTGAAGACACTCAACTGGCGAGCGATGACGAGGAAGATGACGGTAACCTAGGAGGTATGTTCCATCCCGGCTTTGGATGAGTTTTTGTCCACTTTACATCTCTGTTGTTCTGCCACCCTCCTCTTCATCTTTGATAGTCATCACCATCAACTCTGTTATCCTCTGTTTGAGTTTTTGTCCACTTTACATCTCTGTTGTTCTGCCACCCTCGTCTTCATCTTTGCTAGTCGTCACCATCAACTCTGTTATCCTTCGCAGTTGTCATCATCATTTTCACCAATATTACTGTCAAAGTACGGGGTGCACTGGGTGTTTTGGCACCTCAGGGAGTGACGACCCTGCCCATAATTGTGTCGTCCCAGGCTCAGGTGGCTCCGTCTGACAGTACCCAGTAAGGGCCCTGTGCCAGGGTTACATGGAAGCCAGAGTGGCAGCAGGCTGATGAATCTTGAATCGAGCGCTTGAAAGTTATTGTCATCGATGGTTGACTCAGCTCAGTGGCACGTGGAGGAACCTTGTCTGTGGTCAACGGGTGGCACCACAGGCCAGCTAGCGGCAACTGTGGGGCAGCTTGTACACTCCCCAGTTCTGTTACACTTTGGTTTACCCCTGGATCAGAGTGTGCAGGACAAGAGAGACTCGACAATGGGGGTACAACGTCGCGGGTCTGCTTTTTTACTGTGCAAGGCTAGGAGGGAGCAATAAGTCCTGTGGCGGCAGGAAAATGCGAAGGTGTTAAACCCTCTCACCTCTCTCTCTTATCTTGTCGTCATTGAAAACGCTGGACTGCCGATTACTTACATGGCACAAAAATCACCAATATTTATTGACAACAATCAATTTTGGTCATTGTCCTTGTGGTCTTCAGTGTCACTCTGTTGGTAATTTACACATGTACAGTGTATAGTCAGTTTCATCAATATGACATTGCATTAATAGTCATTGATATGATTGGTCCTTTCTCAATAGCTACTGCATTTGTCATCCAAAAATCAAAGTCAGTCTCATTTTTGGATGTACACCATCATCAAATTTCATGCCTATCTCCCAATTTTTGAAAACTTTGTGCTTACCAAAATGGCTACCTTCTGTCATGTCTGTTGCACATTTCATGTGCAGTGTAAACACAGTACAGTTACTGGAGATCACATTTTTGGCCTATCAACAGGAGCCACTTGTGAAGGATGGTTTCCATGAAGGCAGAAGGTTCATTTTAAATGTTTGCGTATTACAAAGTTTGAACTTTTGCCTGAATGCGCACAAACCAGGACCATGTATGCATGGCACATGAGAAGGGTGAGGGAGTTCTGGAGCATGGAGTCCATTAAAGTCTGGTATCCTGGCTTTTTTATCTACCTGTTGATCTGGTTAGCTCTTGTCTGCTTGATTTTATTAGTCATTCACCATGCTGTAATCGACACTTTTCTTCCAGCAAAGTATGTGGCCGAGGAACACTTTGGAGGATTCCTGACCAGGAAGAAAGCAGAGAGCACAAAAGAAGAGGTAAGGTTGAAGGGAAGAACTTTCAGAAGTTGAGAAGCATTTGGAATCAAAGTACATGTACTTCCTTGACAACACTAATTTCCTTAACTTGTGCAGACTTGCCAATAGGCAAAACTATGCAGGCAAAAGATGGTAAGAGTATCCCCTCTGTGGCTCCTTCCACCTCTCCATAATTTTTCAATGAGCAAGTATTCTCCTGTATCCCTCAAAATCCACCAGGAGGCTTAGGAGGATTTCAGGTTGAACCTAGTCGCTACTGGTCTTCACAGGCAAAATGCTCTGGAAAGTTGTAGTGCAAAGAATTTGCCATTGGTTTACTGCTCAGTCAAGGTTTTTTCTTTTAAGGATTTTGAAAATTTTTAGCGACAAGACCCAGATGTGAGGATGATTCAGTTAATTAATGCCTCGGAAGTTAGTTTTGCAACTCAATATTAAGACCTACTGATAGAGCAGTCTCCATCTCTGAGAGATTATGTTTGTACAACTAAAGAAAAAATAAGACTGTCAGCCAAAGATTGTACCAAACCTCATTGTTTCTTTCTTGAGCAGAATACAAAGCCTAAATCTCGCCAAGAAATTCTGGATGAAGTCATCGCAAACTCCAAGAAAGACAAGGTAAACACTCTGACGTGGGCAAAAAAACAAAGCTTTGTGTTAAACATCCAAAGTTAGAAAATTTCCCCTTGACATTGTGCGTTAGTGCAAGGTTCGTGAAATGTCATATGTCTTCTCCCCTCGTACATCACAAGGTGCCTACCGTGATATTTGAGAAAGTGGAATTGTGTTCAGCTTTTACCAATCCGCTGTGTTCATTCTTAGCCTCATGACCTTTTTTTGAAGCTCGAAAGAAATTCTCTTCAATTGAAATGGAATATGTTCTGGATTATAGGTCTCTCTCAAGTGACGTCACTTCCCCCCACTTCCTACAAATTGCCACGTGCATCTGCAGTTGGTACTTCAAATTTTTGTGACACACATCAGCTGCACTGTATTTCGAAGATATTTGATCCACATGCATTCGTGTTCACTGTTCACACATGCACCTGTTAGCGTTGTATACGCTGTTGTAATTTTCCTACAAACATGGAGTCCAGTGGGAGAGATCTATATGCATTTGTACCATTATTTGGGGGCCCATCATTTATTTACCAAATCTTGTTACCAGATTTCATGTTTAAAGCAATATTTTTCAATAAGGACTTTCAATTACTGACGTGATGATATGTCTTGTATTTATACTTCCGCAGTATGAGCGTCAGCACCAGAAGGAAGACATGTTGAACCTGACTGAAAAGCTCAACAAGGACTGGCAGGCGGTCTCCACTCTCATTTCCTTCTCCAAGGTACCAGGCATTAATTCTCTGGCGAGCTAGGCTATTAAAATTTGCCATTCTAGGAAAACATTCTCTAAGTTTCGGGGGCGGGGGGGATGGATCTCTCAATCTAAACCAAACTCAATCTTGAGCCTCTGAAAGTTTTTAAGCTGTCTGAAGTCTCAGGCGCCATTGGCCTGTTTTGGTAGAAATAGTCCACCAGATTTATGATCCATAAAACTACTGCTGTGGACTAGCTGCCAGGAACATACCTGCTATTTGTCTGTGCAAATGCGCATACAAAGCAAGCGTGGGCCCAAATCTTGAATGTTTCTTGAATCTTGAATGTATTAGAAAGGTATATATTGTTGGTGTTCATTCTCCGAGTTATTTGTGACGACACCTTGTCTTTTGTTTTTTAGCGCAAAAAGTCTACTGTGGAAAACAAGCCCACAGCAGATGACTATGATGTTACTGTCCGAGAGCTCATGTTTGACATGAAGGCAAAGGTAGGTTTGAGTTGCAGCCTCGTCCCCATGATGTTTGGCAGTGCGCTACCACGGCATATCTTGCTCTGATATCGTACCTTATTTGCATATAACAAAAATCCTGAAGATCTGAATAGGCGAGGAATAGTGTGAGACCTTTATAATCCTGCAAAGTCGATATGTGTGTTTGAATTGGGTGTTTAGGGTGCCAGACAGAAGCAGTTCCTTTGTGGCATCAGATTGGAGAACAAATAATTCTCCGAGTGCCAGTGTAGTGCTTACGCCCATTTAAGATACACTTTTTGAACTGAAAAGTACTGGTAATCGGTTGGATTCACTGAGTTACAAGTTAGAATGCATAGCGGCAGCGTTCATGGACATTTCCAAACATGTTGTCATTTCATACTTCTTTTCGAAAGGACCATCATTTATCACTTTTGTGAAAATGACGTCCTGCGGATAAGGGGATAAGGCCACAGGGACTATCAGATAGCCAATTACTATTTACAACAATAATTTGGTTGGTTGATTTTTGGATAGCAGTAAATGATCCATTCTACCTTTAACATACACTCTGTAAGGACTGGTGGGCAGACTGTTCCCTGTCCCCCCATGGCTGTTTTGACTGTGAATAACCACTTGGTGGAGGTGGGAATCGTGTGGTCAGCCTAGTCTGGACAAGTTTGACCACTGGTGGATTTTTGGCTGGTACCGAAAATATATTTTGTGCACAGGCTACCATGGAATATAGGCCATTGGTCAGCAAGTGACCATCACACAGACATTCCTGTTTCTGTTCGCTGATGAAGGGAGGGAGGGAGGAGGGCACTTGTCCACAACAAAGCAAAGGAGAATGAAGTGTTGATTTGATGTTGGTTTCCTAGGCAACAGACAGGATGAAGACACCGGAAGAGGTGGCCCGAGAGGCTAAGCAGAGACTGGACAAGTTGGAGCAGGACAGACAGAGGAGGATGCTGGGAATCACGGAGGAGGAGCAGGAGGCAAGACGGAAGGTTGGGCATCAGTCGGCTGATGATCTCAATGATGGGTAAGAAACATTTCATGTCCAAAATCCTTTTGACAAAAATTGACCTAAAGTATTTAAAGTATTTCAGGTGATAATTGTATTTAGTTTCTTGAGCACTGGCATGAATTCATGAATGTAGTTTCTGACCCTGCTGGTGAAGATTTAATGCATTTCTACTTGATGTCCTCAGGCAAGACACTTTTTCACAATTTCTTTCTGTCCCGGTCAGACTTGGCACATGTTAGTAACATCAAGGACAAAGTTCAGTCATATTGCATTGAAATTGCAAATAAGGGTGCTGGAATAGTCATTCCAGAGCCATTCAGAACCAAGGAGTCTCTCATTGTCTGTGATAAAATTTGGTTTTTTTTTTCAAGCATATGTTGAATAACATCTGACTGTCCAACACTTCCTCCAGGTATGCATTAGAAGCTGTTTCTAAGACTGCACTGAGCTATAAAGACGGAAAGCCAATCAACATGGACATGTTTGGGAGCCAAGCTAGTAAGTGACTCTTTCCATTTCTGATTGCTTCTGCCGTGGGTATTGTAACTGAGTATAATTGACAGAAAGATACTAATTGTCATTCAGGTCAAGCCTAAGTGTTCCAGGCCAAGTGCTTTTTTGTAGGGAAGATATTAGTGAGTTTTTCGCTACAGAGTTTATCATAAGGAACTTCCAATTCTGCTAAAGTACAGTTTGGAGTATTACCATATTTGGACAGCTTATTACGTTACAATCTCGCGCAAGTTGACCAATTACAAGGCTTGTTCTAGCAGCCTGCAAAGGATTGCATAGGTGTTACAGGGTGCTTTTCTTACATGTTGCAGCATATGGAGTAAAAGCATAAATGAAATTATTTATGTACAAAAATTTGATTGCCTGTGCAAAAAAACCCTGACTGCAGACATAAACTAGAAGTTCTAAAACACGTTTAGATCGATGGGATTTAAATTCATCGTGGCCAACTTGAGATATTCAAAATTGAATTTTGACAAAAATCGCTCTGTCAGTATCGGAAAGGTCACTATGCCCATATGTGGTAATGCTCCAGACAGAAGTACTGCAATTCTGTTTTAAATCATTACGCCAATAGCGAACCCTTTTAGCAAAACCTTTTGATGTGCGTCCACACTCGGTTTCCTCCACGGTCCAACTTCAGTAATCAGAGCACACATTTTCTTAGGCTGAGTGTCAGCTAATATCATCCTTTTATTTCCCTTGTATGTCATTACAAGCCCAAACGCACTGTTCAAATGCCCCCGAGGTTTGGCATTCCTCCATTTCCCTGAATTCCCAATTGTACGCCAGTATTGTGCAGTGCCGTAGTTGTCATGTCAGACTCAGAAAAGGACTTGAGCACCGCGGAGGAACAACGTATTGAACAGAGACTATGGCAACGTTTGTGTGATCTTGGAGAAGGGATATTGCAAGCAGAAAGTAACCAGCAGCCGATTTCACCAAAAGTGGTGTAACTTTGAACCATGCGTAAACCTTTTGCCACAAAGTTGTGCCACAGTCCTGCGCAATATGCTTACGTTCGATTTCAAGAAAAGTTGCGTAGCTGTGCCACGGTTTAATAATATTATATTTCTTGGACAAGGACAGTAATGGCTTTTACGACGGCTGTTCCATTCCAATATAACAACAGTCATCAAACAGTTGTTGAATCATCTCCGCCTGCAATTTTGGAAAAGTTTTTGTCTTTTCTTCTTCGGAACGGGACTGAAAATCTTGCAGTTCTCTCACTGCCAAACTAGTTTTTCGTTACCTTCTACAACTAAGTTGTACCTTTCTCGTTTAAACCTTTTTAGGTTCAGCAATGATTAGGCTTAACCGAACATGCTGAGCTAGTCAAATCGTTCATTTTCGCTTTGTTTGGTGCAAGTCACACCACCTATTACTGTGTCAGGAACTTACACAGTGCTTACGTTTTGTGAAATCAATCGTAATTTGTTGCACAACTTGGCTTAAGTGTAGCCACAGTGGTACCGAACATTTGGAAATACCGAAGATCCCCCTTGGCTACGGAAGTTTTGTGCTTTTTTACCAAGCATTACAAATTTGGTTGAAATAAAAGAAAAACATTTAGATTTGATGATAAATAACTCAAAGTTGAAGAAACTTGCACTTATGATGGAACATTATTAGCGATGTTCCACTGTACGCCATCACGTAAAGCTTTTTGAAATTGGCTGCTTCTCCTAGATAGATGCCTCATTGTTATTTCAGAGAAAGGTCAGTCCGTGAATGCAGAGGGTGAAGATCAAGATGACGACAACGTCCAAGACGACGAGGAAGAAGATGATGAGAATGATGAGGATGGAGAAGATGAAGGAAGTGATGATACTGACAACGATGACGAATTTGAAGATAACCACTCAGATCTAGAGTCTGACGATGCAGAGAGTGATAGCGAGGAAGAGACTTCAACTGCCCAGCCTTCCATATCAAATGAGGTACCGTGGAACTCGTTCATGTCAATGGAGCTTGTACTCCGTATTGGGCGGTTCTACCTTGCAACTTTCATCTCTGTTCATTGTGTTATTCAGATCTTCGTATACTGCAAGTCATGTTTGAAACCCACGTAGTTCATGTATAAAGGAAGAAAAAGAAACATCCAAAACAAAGGAATGCATGTAAAAACGGTTAAGCGTATGTAGTTTTGCACAGTGGGTACCGTTGTTACACCTGCATAGCTGGAGATGATGCCAATTCTTTTCTTAATTATGGCAAAAGTGAGGAGTTTGACTGAACTGAAATTTATATACTGATCAGAGGGAAAGAACAGGCCTCCGGTACAATGGAGGAGATAACAGTTCGTGAAGGTATACACGTGTGTTGCTTGAAAGACCAGAAATTGATTTGCAAAACCTTCATACTTCTCTGATTGTGTGGAATGCATATCCACCAATGTTTCTTTGACATACTTGAGAAATTGTATTGCCGAAAATGCTCCTGTTTTATGGTAAACAGCAAAGCATGTGCCACGACACCTCAAACGTTTCCCCCCCCCCTTTTTTTCAGATGAGGGAAACAATCCGAAAAAGTGCCAAGGAGGAGTTACCGTACACGTTTAAAGGTTGGCATTCCTCTAATTGCGGGGTATATACCTGAGAAGTATAATGAGACTGAAATAAAGTTCCGCCGTCTTTTTCTGTCGAAGGGAATTTGATCTTCTGCACCAAAAAAAGCAGAGAGGTTTTCTGTACTGGAACACCTTTCAAAGTCATCGCAATTAAAATGGATTCCTTTCAAAGAGAATTGAATCTTGCAGGGGTCACAGCACACTCGCCAGTTGATTTGGGTGTCAGGTCACAGCTAGCAAGGGCTGAACAGTAACAAGCCAATATATTTGTTGTAGTTCTTTGGAGGAGCGTGAGATTTTGGACTGGATTATTTGTGTTGGACTTGTGACGGACATGTCAAAATTTGTAACGGACTCTTGATGGACCCTTAATTGTCCATTAAGACATTACATCTATATTTCTATGGAATTGCATTTGCTAATAGGTAACACAAAATGCTGAAGTGGTATTTTACCCAAGAAAAGTTGCCCAGTGCCTCAAGGTGCATCAGACTTTCACACCTGGTGTCCGGTATTTGCTGTTGCAAAACTGATCCAACCTTCAGGTATCCGAGTAATGAAACTGGTATTCTTCATTTGGCCGACAGCACCAGGGAATTACGAAGAGTTCATGGACCTTGTGGGCGGCCAGTCGCACAGCAACCAGTTCCTGATAGTGGAGAGAATACGGACCTGCCACCACCCCAGTCTGGCAAAGGGGAATAAAGACAAACTGGACACGCTCCTGACGATACTGCTGCGGTACTTCGGTGATGTCGTCAACCTGGAATCGGTCAGGATGGAATTTCTGGACGGGCTGACAAAGTAGGATTCTAACAGCATTTTTTTTGTTATATCCCTGCATGCTATGAATATGTGTCTGTTATTGTTACCTGGTGTCTTGCACACTGTGATTTTGCTGTTCCAGAACAAAGTGCGCCAAGTTCTGAAGGGTACCTTCTGACTCCAGGTGTTAGCTTGCATTTTCACAAACATGAATTATGTCGCATAAGTACTACATTCTCCTGAGCTGGTCTCAAACCTGTCAAGCACATGCTTTTTGAGTCACGAAGTCAAAGCAAGTTTTTAAAATCATAAAGTTCCAATGATTTTTGTGCAACAGTTTTTCTGTCGTTGAATTTCAAACACCCTTCTAGCCATGTTAAGGTACTTTCTTCTCACAAGTAGTCATAAATAATCTCCTTATACATGTATAGAGATTGGTGTGAGCATGACACCTGCTACATGAAGGGGTGTACAGCCAGCCAGTGCTTAATCCCAAACCCTGCTAGACGCAGCCCAGTGCACCAGGTGTGAAAGTCTGATGCACCTTGAGACACTGGGCAATCAACAGCAGCTGATCAAACTGGCCATGTTGAGACAATGAGAGTTAGTCCTATTAAACAGTGCCACTGGTGGATCTTGTGGTGACTGGCAACCACAGACTCCCAGGCTGTTTGGCCTTGGGGAGAGTTAACCTGTTGGAGCTTGTTACACTGGGCAGGCAAGCCACTTTGTCAAACGATGCAGGCAGATGTGCCTGACAGCGTTTCTAGCAAACATACCCTAGAGTGTGAGGGTTATTAACCATTTAAGACCGGCCACATGACGGCCTCCCAAAATGGCTAAACTGCCTTTGGTATTTATGTAGAATCAAATCACCTACAACGTTGTGTTACACAACAGTAACATTACCTGCTTGCATCCCGTGAGAAATCTGCAAGTCACTGGTGTCCGAGCTATTTTCACTGCCAGTGAGTCAGTACATAGGAAACTGGAGCAGAAAAGTGTGTAAATTAATCTTGTTACAGTGTAAAAACACTTAGGCATCAACATGGATCCAAAGATTTGACTCTGCTGAAGTGAAATCCATCTGCTACAATGTTGAACAAAGCTTTTTCATCTTAAACGCACACTGCACCCTCGGCTTAATAGCCTCATGTGCCATGAGTCCCTTTCACATGTAAATTTTTGATATCAACTTAGTAATGGACCTATGACAAGTGGCAAGAACTGAAGCAAAAAGAAGATGCCCATCCCCGAAGGTTGAATATGTAAATCTGATTACACCTCTCCACCTTAGCTGACAAGGAATGAACCAGTACAGCCATTAATGCTCTTACAGGCATATCTATGAGCTGACGGCTCAGTCTTCCCTGCATGCTGGCCAGTGCATGCAAGCACTGATCGCGGACCGGCACCAGCAATTTGAGGAGGAGGCTGAGAGAAGAGGCCGGGGGGTCTACCCTGGGCTTGATATGGTGGGTTGATGACAAACCACAACACATAATCAGTGTGTGGGCATGCTGTTTCAAGCATGCCATCTAGACCAAATAGGCCTATGCATGTTAGTTAGGCGCGAGTTTGTTCGTCATTCGAGTTTGTGTATATTTGCCATATGGTTTTAGATCTAGGTTCTTTAAAACTTAAAAAAAAAGCATATGTATATATATTACCCAGGTCTGAATCAGACCTGGTCAGCTGATGTGGTCAGTCAACATACCGGTATAGTACATGGACGTTTATCTACCAGCCAACAGCATGTGACAGATTTTTGTTCACAGTTATGTCACAATTTCCAAAGCCGACACTTGTTGTTTTGGAACCGGCCCCTTTAAAAAAACACAAAAATGCTCAGACCAGTGAACCCTCAGTGCGTCAAAGAATGTCATCATGTTTTCTCTCCAGTGTACCAGGCCCCCTTGTTTTGCCCTCACAAAAGTGTGCGGTATCACACATTTTTAAAGCCCAGATTGGAATCAGTGTGTGATCTTTAGGTTATGGTTGGTTTAGGTAGGTATGGGTTGTTATTACTGTAGGACATCAATGATATAGTTGAAAGTGGTTAGTTCTATGCATGTTTCCGCCTTACAATTGGCAATTACCTTGTGACCTTGTCGCTGTTTGACTGTAACCGGAGAAGATCTATGTACCTCCCTACAGGGTCAAATGTCAATAAAAACCCTAAAGGGACCTGCCAATTGAATGCAAAAAGCAGGAAGAACCTTGATTCCTAGTAATGTGTTGATGTACCTTGAAACTGTTTCTACACGACCACTTTCATTTTTCCTCCAACTTGTATGGGCGAACAAAGTTTGCAGAAATATCGCCTTTTGGTTGGTTTTCGATGTTACCTCAAATTTGTTTAAAATGGACATCTGTCCCATTAAGTTTAAATTGTATTTTTGTTGTATTTTCATTTAGGATTTCAGAC